GAGACAGAATTTGTAGGTCGACGTTCACTTGTGCTAGCACCTTCTTTCTTCAAGTACTCCTTACAAGCATTCAGATCCTTGTCTGCTTTAGCAATAAGATCATAGGCTTCCGTGAAGTCTACCGTTGGTATGACAGATACTTGAGCCCTGAGATCAGGTCGGAGTTTTGATCTGAACTCCTCAATACGGTCAGTTGTGGGGCTTACCAACGTTGGTGCAAATTTGGCAAGACTAACAAACTTTTGGCGATATTCGGGAAGCGTCATCTCCCCTTGTTGCAACTCAACAAATTCGGTACGTTTCGCTTCACGGAAACGTGCTGGGATATACTCTTTCTTGAAAGCCCAGTCGAAGAACTCCCACGTCCATGGCTTCGGGGTTTCGTTACTTTCATCGGTGCGTTTCCACCCCATTCGTAGGCTTCCCCACGAAGTAATTGTGATGCGAGTCTCGGGTGGTCGTTAAGCGGTACGTTCAGATCTCTCAACACTTGGGCAGTCTGTTCAATCCAATTCCAAGCAATTTGAGGTTCAACGATTCGATCGCCCAGAAACTCTTCTGCTCCATTATCTTTCAGAAATTTGAAAGTGATTACACACGGTGGCGGCGGTGGTGGTGGTTGAAACATTGGAGCATTGGCCACTTGTTGAAGCAAGTTTGCCAAGAAAACAGGAATTGCGTAGTCAAGTTGACCACCAGCATTCGCATTGTTCTGAGGAACATCCTCTTGGTTGATAGGCTCGTTTTGGATAGGAGGGGTGAAGCTAGATGCTTCAGTGTGAACACTAACGTGTTCATTGTTGCCTTGTCCGTGTGCGGTTTCTTGACTCATTCTACAATTGACAGAAATTCCTTTATTAGGATTCTTTATTTGGGTAGTTGAGTTCATGACAGAAATTACAAAAGATTACAACAATTGATACAATCAAGGGATTCGATCAACAAGATTTATTCTAAGCGTTTACGTTTGAATAGTTGGATTTTCTTGAATTTACGGAAGGATCTTCCACACCGGATCCGCAGATGCTGTTGGCAGAGTCTATGCTGAACGTCTCTTCTGGGTCATCCTGTTCCCATGCAGCCTTGCGGCGCAGATAAATCCTTCTTTTCATTATTTTCGCGAAGCGATGGGCGCGTTGATAACGTATCAGGGAGTCATATACATTTCGTTTGTTCTTTCGTCTTTTACCATGTACGAAAGTGCGACTTGAATCAACACTTGATATCATTTCCGAATTAACAGTTGACATCTATGAAATTCAATACAGACACATTTAATACTTAGATTTTTATTACCTTCTTGGAGTAGAGGGATGCGAGAGTCGTGGATGTGATTGAAATTTTCTTTTTTTATATAGCCAAAATATATATGTATATAACATATATATATATATTTAAATCCAAGTTTTGATCCGAAGATCGGGTTTAAAACCATTTGCTCCGATACAAAATTGTAACACCCTAATCCGTCCAGGTCTGCAGCCCTTTTCGGACTAAAGTATAAACTTGGTATTCGTAAACATTTAAAATATTTCAAATATTTAAAACTTTATTTCATAATAAATAATTCAAAATAGTAACGGAGTAATTTAATGTTGCGGAAGCTTAATAAAACATAATACAAACATAATTAATTTTTGTCTTTTCAACA